AAGTTTGTTCATATTACTTTAATTTGAATTCAATAAAAAAGGATGAAGAACCCCGTATAAAGAGACGCACCTGAGGAACACTGATGATAAAACAATCGCGGAGTAATGACGTAAATAGTACACAAATGTGGGAATAACTGTGTAAATAAACAAATTTAGGAGTATTTATGTAAAACTTGTAATTTCTGGGAGTGTTCTTGTGAATTTTGCCTTTATGAAATTATATTGATTTGTAATATTTGTCCTAGTATTGATTAAAATTTCTTTCTTAGTTTTTGATAAATTTATTTTTTTCATCAATAAATAAAATTCAATTAAGTAAATAGTAAATGAGAATTTTTTTGTTAGAGTATTGTTGGGAGTTTTTATCTATTTGATGATTTAAAATATTTTTGTTATTTTACTAGCATTTATTATTAATCTAAACCATCAAATAATAGTATATATCTTTGTTGCACTTTTAAGAAACACATTGTAGTTAATATAACACATAAACATTTATTTGAGGAAAAACATTTAGATATTTATGGATCTCATAGTTTTTGTTTTAGAAGTAATAATAAATGCTAGTACGTTAACAAAAACTTGCACTAATATCTAAATTTTATTTTTAGAAGTAAAATTTTATTTTGAAAATGGTATTATTTTGGAAGTACCGTACTTAAGTGCTATTAGAGTTTTGATGTATCTGTAAAATAATATGGAGTATTTGGCTAGATATTGCATTCTCAGCAAATTTGTTAACTAGACATATTTGATCCCTAACTAAGAGGCATTAGAATGACATAAGATATATTTTTCAATATCTTAATGGTGAAATTGACATAGGTTTATTTTACAATAATGGTTCTAATATCATTCTTGTGGGATACGCTGATGCAAAATATTTGTCTGATTTACAAAAGACAAAATCACAAGCATTATATGTGTTTACTTATATGGAGAGTTGACGTCAAATCATGTAGAATTGACAGCTCTCTAAGAAGCAAGTTAAGAAAGCGTATGGTTGCGAATTTGCGATTAATAACTCAACACATTTAGAGCAAATGTGGTATAAAAGCAATCACTAATCATATGACTTCTATATATGAAAATTGTATTGCATGCATTACTCAACTTAAAGGAGGCTACATTAATAGAGGTAGAACGAAGCATACAGCACCAATGTGTTTTTCAACTCATGATCTTGGAAAAGATAGAAAGATTAAGATTAAGCAAATGAAGTCCAAGAAATTGAAAAACCCATACACAAGAATGACATGCATCACCTATTCACCTCTGTGAAATATGTTAAGTTCGAGGGAGGGGTGATTTATGCATTTTACTCCTCTTTTGTTAATCATGTTTTTATTCCACTGGGTTCTTCTTGACAGCTTTTAACGAGGCACATATAGTACATAAATTTAGGTTGGGTTTCATTTCACAAAGTACTCATTATTAATTGAAAAATTTACATTCTCCAATTAATTACTTGAACTTTTCTAGATGCCTAAATAATATGAAGTATATTCATTATGTAGCAGTAAAATGTATTGTCTATTCTCCACATGTAGAAGAGTTCAAATCAATTTGTATTAGTGTTCATACTAAGCATCTCCATTATAAAAACATGCTCAATTCCTGCAATATCATATTTTCATAAATGTGCGATACCATGAACCATTTAGGAGTTTGATAGGATTGAGTGAAATTTGAATTGAATAATACAGTACTAAATTGAACTGAAATTTATTGAATTGAATAAAATTGAATTCAATAGAAGTTGAAGCCGGAAAGGGAAAATGATGAAATGAAGATTGAATGGACTCTGACTCATTGGTTTTAAAAAGCAAGCCAGAAAATACTAGAGAAATTATTTTAATCACTATGTCAATAAGCTACTACCTCCGTCACAGAGTATTTATCCACTTTCATTTTTACACACCATCCAATACACTTCTTTAATCCATTTTATCTTGTAATTTGTATATTAAAAAATTATAGAAATTATATATTAATAATCTACATGTTAAAACAAATCAAACAAGATCACATATGACTATATTTAGACTTACACATTGAGAGAATTTGATGAGTCAAAGTGCTTAGATAAACAATTCCAAAAGTCAAAACTGGACGAATACTCCGGGACGGAGGGAGTATATACTTTATACAAAATGAAATTAAACTCTAAAATGTGATAAAAATATTTATTTAAATAATTAATAAAAATATATCAATAAAGCAAACTTTTTATAATTTTTAAATAATGAAACATGTAAATATTTATAAGACTAGGGAAGTATGAACTAGTGGGAGAAAATAGGGGCAGGCAAGTGGAAAACAAATTTTGGATGATAAGATTGTTCCTTCCCATGGGTTCTATTTTTGAGGTAATAGCATGTTGCCCTTGTAGTTTATAAAATAAAATATATGCCTTCTTTCTTAAATTAAAAATTAAAAATTTATGCTATTTAATATAGTTTCACTCTTTTATTTGCATTTTTTATTATACAATTAAATAAAATAAAATATATGCCTTCTTTCTTAAATTAAAAATTTTCATTTATTTATTTTTTCAAAAAAATAATTTTTTTTAATAAAATGTTACAAAAGAAAATGAGAAATAAAAAACGAAACAAAATACATTTCTTATTATAAGTAAAAGTAAAATAAATAAAGTAAAAAAGTAAACTAATTTTTTAAAGACTTTTAAAAATGAATAACAGTAAGATGAAATAAGATATGGAGTTAAAGAAAAAGACTATTTTTTATATTTTTCTTTCTTTTCATTACTTTTTTCAATTATTTTTTTTACTTCGTTCAAACTTTTTTTATTTTTAATTTTCTTTTGTAGCATTCTTCAAAAAAGTCTTTTATTTCCAAAAATACATAATTGAAAATTTTTAATTTAAGATGTGGAGCGTATATTTTATTTTACGGAGTATATATTTTGTAAACCACGGGACACCCATTCTATTAGACCTTTTTTCTTCTCCATTTCCAACTGGACCTGAGCCCAAATATACGAATTGGAAGTTGGTGGCAGTTGATTTATGATGGGCTTGGCCCACGTGAAAACGACAAGTTTTGCTTGTCCAAACTGTAGTTTCTGGTCCTTTTTCAGCCTAAACATCTCTCCGCCTGATTAGGCCAGGCCCGTGGACATCCTTCTTCTTCCTCCGGCGGCTAGATGTCGTCGTCGTCCCAACTACGAAGTTTGCAATCGTTGTGGTCTCCGGCCAAGAAGTGGATCGCATCTTACGGTTAGCTCCGAATAATTATTCTCTGCGTGTGATTATGGCGGATAAGATTTAAGGAAATCTTATGCTGTTTTACTACTCACTGTCTGCGCAATGCGAATTTTCTATTGCTTAATTTGAGTGCGATACGAGCCTGTGTGGTGAAATTATTGTAATGATTTATGGAAATGAGGAAGAAGACGATATAGAATCTTGTGTTTTGTGGTTTAGTTCATTCTCCCATATGTAAGTATTACGGAGTATGATTTAGGGATTGTTTGGATTGGGACTAATGTAGGGTATTGTATTGACATAGTATTGGTAACATGTTTGGAAAGCTGGTATTATATGATATATGCAGTTTTAGGGTATAAGAGGAATTGTTATACAATTTCATTGTTTGCTTTCATACTTCTTAGCATGAGGTATAATTCTAAGAGTTCGATAAAAGTTATAGGGGTATAATATGAAGTTATGAACTGAACTGTTATAACCCATGGAAAATCACTGAATTGGTTGTTTAAAAATCTTTGGGAAAACCAACAAAAACAACAACAAACCCAGTAAAAAACCACAAAAATTATGGTCTGGAATCTTTGGAAAAACCATGGATTATTATATAAACATTAGATTATCATCAAAAACCATACCATTGAATTGGAAATGGAAACATACATGGTTATCCATTTTATAAACCATGGATATTCATGTTGAGCCACAAAATAAACAAGGCATTGGGGGAACATAGAAGAAGCCATCGTGGATGTTATGGGGTTGTATTAGAACACAAAATACAGTATTGGTTTGGTTTTACGCATTAGATCTGAAGATTTGTTTGGCTGGGTTCTTTCATGACTAGGTTCAATCTTCAACAATTTTCTGGGTGCAAGAGGAAACCCGTGGGAACTTAAAGAATCAACAAGACATGAGCAAGGAGAAGAACTGAGGATTGATGAGTCAATACCAAACATTGGAGAAATAGAGAAGATTATTGGGTACAATTTCAATGAACAGAGTTTACTATGTCAAGCATTCACACACTCTTCATACCATAAAAAATGTGAATCATATGAACGTCTTGAGTATGTGGGGGATTCGGTACTCAACTTAATGATCACTCAACAACAATTTTTAATGTACCCAAATCTTCCACCGGGGATGTTGTCACCTCTGCGTGCCGCCAATGTTGACACAGAGAAACTTGCACGCGTTGCTGTGAAACATAGATTCCACAAATTCTTACGTCACAATAAGCCTGTTTTACAGAAACGAGTAAGTCCCCTGCCGCCTTTGTTCCAAGACTGTGTATGTCTTCTCTAAGGTATAGAGTATTAGTTAATGTATTGGTGGGTATATTGAAGCCGGCCTTGGTGTATGTCGAGTTAGGCCCAATATAGTCCATTTGTTTTTTCACCATGATGATTATGATTGTTGTTGTTGTTGTTGTTATTATTATTATTATTATTATTATTATTATTATTATTATTATTATTATTATTATTAAACCCCAAACTACCTATGCATGAACGGTTAGGTGAGGATTGAAACCCGCATGATATGGGTCAGGTTAACCCGACGCTTTCACAAGATACAGAACAAGGCTTCCAAAGCCTTCGTTTGAAACCTTCCATCCACAATCCCCAAGTTGACATGTAACCCTTGTCCTTGTATATTGTCCTATGGGTACTTCATATAAGTGAATACTTGATGATGCCAGATGATGAATATGGCATGCAAGCCCCCCCCCACCCCCACCCCACCCAGTTTTTTTTTGAGTTTTTATAACTAACATACTATTAATTTTGTGAATCCCAGATCAATCTTTTTCTCGGCGCTCTTCCAAAGTACCCTTTACACTCACATGGACTGATTGCTGCCCCAAAGGTACTTGCTGATGTTGTTGAATCAACAATCGGAGCTGTGTTCATAGACAGCAATGCTTCACTTGATAAAACCTGGGAGGTCTTTCATTCCTTCTCTTTTATTTTGACACTCTTTTTTTATTCTTTTTTCCTTAAAAAATGATTATTAACCGTGCCGAACATTGCAAGCAAGATTCGTCTTAGGATTATGCAGTTGTAATTGCTGAATCATAAAAAAAATGCTCAAATGTATTTTTAAGATTTTAAAAGAAAGAGTAGATGAGTGCTAGTGTCTTTTATATTCATCTCCAAAACAGGCTCCAAAAGCTCAAAGAAGAAGGAACTGATATGATGATATCAACATTTATGTAACCACTGATTTGGAACCACCTTCCACTCTCTCATCACAGATAACAAAAGCACTGTTGGACCCAATCATTACTCCAGAAATGCTCGAAACGAATCCGGTGAAGAAGCTGAACGAAATCTGCCAAAAGCACAAGCTCAAAGTACAGCTCATAGATCTGTGGGCACAAAACAGAACTTGTGAAGTTTTAGTTGGCAGCCAATTTAGAGGGAGAGGGAAATGCCTTCAAAAGAAAGAAGTTGCTTTGAATAGAGCTGCAAACGAGGCCTACGATGAACTGGTTCGAGTCCTTGGCTGTGCTAAGTCGTAGTCGTTTCGTGTTTTGCCTCGATAATTACTCCCCCCAGTATTTGTCCAGTTTGACTTTTTCAAGTCATGATGAACTTTGAGCTTCAATGAAACAAAAATTGTAATGTATACTAGTATACCCCAATCTCCATCACTCAAATAAAAGGAAAACTTAGTCAGCAGTTGACTTTGACTTTTACAAATGACGGTGATGTCCTCGTTGCCACTCATATACGTGTCTAGTCATTTTACTTTGGTGAGCCCCCCACCCACTCGAGAGTTGAATGATAAATTTGGTTCCTTCAATTCCCCCATCTATGTATTGTCACTCCCTTCCCCTTTTCTTTCTTTTTCTTTTTTTTTTGGGCAATTTCTTCCTTTCCTTTCTTTCTTTCTTTTGCAATTATGCCTCTCTCCTATTAAATTGTTAATTTCTGACCCGCACTGCGGCGTAGGAAGAATTACAATATCAGGCCCGACTCGAACCGGCCCTCCAGTTGTACTCTCAAATTTTAGTTGGGTTTGGAGTAAAAACAATTGACTTTAAAGTCAACTAAAATTGGGGAGTGTAATTGAAGGGGTGGAGATATCAGATCGGGTCGGGCCATGGTGGGAGGGTTTACCGGAAATGTTAAGCGAGGTAGGAGCCGTCAATTTTCAAACGGACGTCCGTAGGAGCCTCAGTTGAAGTCTGGGTCATCCCATGACATTAAAACTCAATGTCATGAAAACTTTCCCAAAAAAATTCAAGTTTTTTTTTAAAAAGTAAAAACGTGGGATCTATTTATTTTTATTCAAAAATGTTATGGGTACACCAAACATGTACCTCATTTGTACACCACCATTCTTTCTACCACACAGTCCTCGATGTGAATAAGAAGAGTAGAGCGTGGATAAAAAATTTATGGTGTAGAGACTAGTGGTGTAGAAATTAGATACACTTTTGGTGTACACCTTGTAGAGAATAAAGTGTTTGATAATAACTTGATTCAATATAGCTGTGTACATGAGCAGAAGTATTTATACAAGGAGAAACTAACTAACAGTAGCTATGTACAAGGGAAGCCAAGCATACACGCAGAAGAGAAGAAGTCAGATGCTAGAAACATGGGATGAGCATAACCACTATTTGAATATTCAAAAAGCCATCCATATCTACTTATCCGTAATACACCTAAGCCCTAGTATTACTTATTTTAATTTAACAAAACAAAAAATGTTACTGTAAATCTTTTTATCTACCTAGAAGGCTACAGTACTATTACCTGCACATTAAATACGACCGCTTTTAATTTGCTGCCCTAGTATAGCTAGCATCTATCTATCACCTATAGCTAAATATATAGAGCAGTACTCAAAAAACACGATAATAATAATAATAATAATAATAATAATAATAATAATAATAATAATAATAATAATAATAATAATAATAATAATAATAATATCAATGAAAATTGAATGGAGTATATTACAACGACTTAGCTTAGAAATAAGAACCATTTTTTTATAAAAATGAAAGTGTTTTGTAGAAAAATGAAAAAAAATGAAAGATGAATTATTTTTAAAAACGGAGATAGTAATAATAATTGAGTAATAATAATAAAAACAACATTCTCATCACTTCATTGTTTTAATTTCTTGCATTCCATTCCTCAATCTCCATATAAACAATATATACTGCCAGCCAGCTACTTCATTCTAGCTACTACATACTAATAGTACCATGATGCATCACTTTCACATCTCACCGTCTTTTCTATTTGCCCTCCTCCTCCTCCTCCTCCTCTCCCCACCAACGCCGCCGGCCGCCGCGGCCCGACCCTCCTTTCCGGGGTCCGCTCACCAGTCCAACAGGCGGCCGGCGGTGCAGTTCTCCGGCCCCTCCCCTCGTACCGAGGTGCATGCTTTTCGGCCGCTCTGGCGCGGCGGGTATCCGGTGGCGTCCGGAGATTCAGAATCAGATAAGAGGAGAGTGCCCACAGGTTCTAACCCACTCCACAACAAGAGATAATAATAGATGATCCATGATTCATTCCTCATACATTATTAATGATTCTAATTCATATATAGGATAGCTATTATGTACGTTAATTAGTGTTCATTATTAATTAATTACTCATTTGATTGCTTTCCTTAGCTATGAATTTTGTAATTTACGTTTTTTGTTCTTTTTTACTTCATATGTCCCTTGAAACTTGTCTTAGTTTGATTAATTTTCATAGAGTTTTAAAAAAAATATTGAAAAGGCAATATCTGTGATTGGAATTATTTATGCTGGGAGATCAGATGGAGCAAAATAATGTTCTTAATCCCATTTATGTTCTTTTTCTTAATAAGAAGAATGTGGCATTTTTAGAACAAGTAAAAGTTTTTATTATTGAATTGAATGTGAAGATTTGCTGGCTCCAGATTCATTTCCAGATTGATATGAGGAATAAATTTTGTTTGTACTGTCCTTGAATATTTGTTTACTTTTGATTTTTTTCCGTCAAAATTAGTTAATTTAAACCACAAATTAAGTAAAAGTAATACTCTCTCCGAGTGTTTGTCTACTTTTGACTCATTCAGGTCAAAATTGGTAAACTTTGACCCCGTATTAAATGAAAATGAAATGAATTATTGATACAAAATTAGTTTTATTTGATTTATTGTATCAAATATTTTCATAATATTATTGTATCTAATTAATATACAATATATATTCTATTTCATTATAAGTTAAAGGCTGAAAATAATTGACCGGAAAAAAGTCAAAATTGGACAAATATTCAGTGACGCAGGCCAGGTAGGATTAGGTATGGATACAACTAATTAACTTTTATCAATGTATATTTTTGAAAATATGATATAGAGTATCAAATTTTGATATTGGAATAGATTCACCCTTATTTGTTTTTTCATTCCTCTCCTCTTTGGTTGTTGCTTCAATCTACTGGTCCGCAGTGAGTAATACTCCCTCCCTCCCAAAAAAAAATGTTACATTTCATTTTTTTGCGCATCACAAAAAGCACTGCTACTCACATCTAAAAATTCTAAACTTTACCATATTTACTCTTTATTATAAGATGAAATTGTTTTGAAAGTTTTTTTGACATTTGAGACGATATAAAAGTGTTTTAAGGGATGTGCAAAAAATGAAACGTAACATTCTTTTTGGGACGGAGAGAGTACTAAATTTTCACAATAACGCTTGATGTACACCACTTGCACACCATATGTACAATACAAACAATTATCATCTCTTTGTATCATAGTCAAAATTTTAAATGGAGGGGTTCTATTCAATTCCCCTCTCTCTCTCTCTCAATTTGTTCCTCGTACAGGGGTTGAAGTAATTGGGGAAATGAGCTGTATAAAGAAAGAAAGAAAGATAGAGGGAAGTTTAGGCATCTGCAGGGGCCCAAGGTTTAAATGTATGTGTGTAAATTGCAATTACTGCACTCAACTACCCTACACTTTAAGGCCCCCCTCCCCCACATAACAACGTATAGTAAAAATAAAAAATAAAAAAACGGGTGTTCCTTTCATCACACACCGATGAGCCTCGTTTGTTGGGCTTCATTTCCCCCCTCCCTTTGATATTTATTAATTGCTCCCTAACTTAGGTCCATGAGAAGAAACTCATAGATTTTGGAATTAAGTTCACAAGACACTTGGACTGAACCACATTAAAAAATTGAATCCAATCAATTAATTAATTCAACTCAAAAGCTTATATACCGATTATTTTACTCTTGAACTTTCGATGTGGGATGCACTTTAACATTTTCTAATTAAGGACCAGATTAAGATTATATCATGAATTACCTCTTCCCTCATTATACTGTCGGATCGGGGTGTGGGGGGTCTGGGATGGGCATTATATTCCACCTTTTCATTAATTGCTCCCTAGCTTCAACTCCAAATTAAGACCTGCTCATCAAAACAGTGTGTGCATGTTTACATGCATGGGGAAAAAAAAATCTGATTAATATTGGCTAGCAATATTCGAATACAAGTCTCAATCTTTTCGATTAAATTTTGGCTAGCAATCTGATTAAATTTTAGCACATGGCATTCCTTAGTTTTTCTCGTTTTCGGGCCGGCCTTATTGTGCAGCTTTGAATAGGATTGGTAGTATATGAAATAGCAGGATAGACCTATCGAGTAGAATCACTTTCAGATTAACGTAATTTCAGCGGCATACCGTATACCAAAATATTTCAAATAGATGAGACGTGAATTTTGAAAAAATTAAACGTGTATGTGGGTTCGGTGTTTGAATCACAATATAGATCATATTTGTATTTTGTAGAGGAAATCTGACGGCTAGACACATTATTTGTTGAGAGGAACAAGCACAACTATTCATCTAGCATTCAAATATTGAAGTGTAGTGTTCGGAGTACTGACGTATCACTTGAGATGAACCATTGAAGCAACACAACTTTTCGAGAAGTATTTGAATACTCAATTATAGTATTTGAATGCCCTAGTATATAGAGTATTCAAATACTCAACGGTAGTCTTTGAATGTTGGAACATCTCAGGTTCACTAGAAAGTAAGTATTTGATTAATATTGGCTAGCAATATTCGAATACTAGGAGTCTCAATCTTTTCGAAAATTTCCCTCAAAGTTGGGTATTCAAACACTTACTCCCTCCGTCTTACCAAATTTCAAAAAATAAGGCAAAATATCAAGTTTTTTAAATTTATTTAATTTAAATATTGGTATAGAAATAAAAAATAAAATTTACATTTTTTAAAACTTCATGAAGACTTCTTCGAAATAAGAAGTGTCAAGAATATTTTATTTTATCAAATAATCAATGAAAACGTACAAATAAACAAAAGTTCCTGTGATTGTAGAAAAAGCAAATATGACAAATATTTTGGGACGGAGGAAGTATTTTAGTATTTCAATATTTTAGTGCTTTTTTTGGAAATCATTCTGAATTTGATGAAATTCCATAAGGCAACACTTGTCCAAAATAACAATTTTACATTCTATCTCAATAATATCACAAAATAATCGGATTTGATATGGGATATGTTTTTAACATATCCCAAAAAAACATTTCCCAACCTTATAAATAGCTACCCCAAGCCGATAATACAAGATTTGAAATCGTAAAAGCGTGAACATAAGGAGTATATTTTTTGTGCGTAAAATTCAATACATATTACTCCCTCCGTCCTAAAATTTTCTTCCCAGAGCACTATTCCAACTTCACGGTAATTTATATTTATTTGTGTTTTTTCATGGCCTATATGATAAAATAAAATATTCTTGTCACCACTTGTTTTGTTGAACTTTTGATGTAGTTTTTAAATATGTATGCTTTAATTTTTATTTCTATATACCAATATTTAAATAAAATAGATTGAAAAAACTTGGGATTTTTCTTCGTTTTGCGCAACGGGAAGAAAGATATACTCCCTCCAGTCCTATATCTTTCTTCCCGTTGCGCAAAACAAAGAAAAATCTCAAGTTTTTTCAATCTATTTTATTTAAATATTGGTATAGAAATAAAAAATAAAACATACATATATAAAAACTACATCAAAAGTTCAACAAAACAAGTGGTGACAAGAATATTTTATTTTATCATATAGGCCATGAAAAAACACAAACAAATATAAGTTCCCGTGAAGTTGGAATAGTGTTCTGGGAAGAAAGTTTTAGGACGGAAGGAGTAGGAGTGTAGGACGGAGGGAGTAGTATACTACCACAGAGAGGAGACAAGGGTGGGAAGAAGGGGGCAAGGGTGGGGGGTTTAGGGGGGTTAGAGGGTAGGAATCATCATTTTTACAAATGGAGCAGCGTAGGTATCCCAAACAAACTGATGTAAGGTAAGCAAATGACACCAGTAGCACTAGTATCATTTTAGACTTACTCATACGTTGATACATACACAGAGAGAGAGATCATGTTTTCAACCTCAATAGTCAAAGCATCTACAATGGAAAGTGTAAAAATAGGTAGGGCATATTCAAATTTACACTGCCAATAAATCAATAATGTTTTACACATCCACTTTTTTATATCCACTCCAACCATATCTTTTATATTATACACTTTTATCTTATTTTAATACAGAGTATTTTAAGTTATTTATTTGTGATAACATTTATAATTTTAATGGCACATATATTTTAAACTATATTAAGAAACATGTAATAAAAAAATTAGTGAGTAATAAAATTAAAAGATTAATAACGTACTAAAAGATTTTAGTTAAAAAAAAACTATTTGGAAAAGTATAAAAGTAATTGAAAGAGTAATAATAATTTACTAATATTTAGAAATTTTAAATAAATTGTACAGGATAAGCAAAACAAACAAAATTAATCATGCATTCATGTATTATTTTAATAATAAATTTTTTACAAGATATCAATAATAAAGTGTATATATAGAAGTTAGAGAATTATATTGCATTTTGGGCTATAGTACATTTTTTACACTAACCATGCGAGGGGTAAAAATGTACATATCTTAGTGTATAAAGTTGATACTCCCTCCGTCCGCCTAAGATGTTCTCATTTTGACTTTTGGTGGTTTTTAAGGAGAGTTGAAAAAAGGTGAAAGTTTACCATAATACCCTTAATGAAAAATGGGTGGAGTGTATTAAATGAGGTGGGTGAGGTGTAATAAATAAAGTAAATGGGGGTAGTTGTGGTATTTTACTTGTTAAAAAATGAAATGAGAAGATCTATTGTGGACAAAGAAAAAGGGCTATTGGGAAGATCTATGGTGGACAGAGGGAGTATTTAACAATATATACTCAAATACACTTTTTACACTCTCTATTATATTGGAGATGCTCTCAAGCAAACTAATATAGTATAAAGTGTATTTGAATTATTAAGAATTTGACAAATTAGCATAAAACGAAAATTTAAACCATATGATTTTTAATAGTTACTTCGTATATTTATAAATATAATTTATGTAAGATGCAAATGTATTAATATCTTTAGATATAGTATAAGAAGTATTGTAAGTTATATTAAATTATTCAAAATCGACGTTGGTTCATCATATAAATTACAGAGTATGATTATTCAAAATATTCGTTTAGGATTCGATAACTCTTCGAATGTTAATCTAATACAAAGACAAATCTTATTTTTAATTCGTCTCACATTCGGATACGGATTCAGATTTGAAAAACTTAAACAAATACAAATTTAAATATCTCAATATTCGTTTCGATTTATTTACTACCCTATCAATAAGGTAACACTTTTGGTGCACTTTTTTATTATTAAACAAATATAAAATATTTAAAAAATTTAAGTAATTTTGGTAAAAATTGTAGGCTCAAACAGGAAAATTAAATAGGGATTGTGGGAGTAATTTATTTTTTTTGTTGATATTTTCAGTACCTACACTAAATACTCTACCCATCCAAAAATAAATAATGCACTTTTCTTCTCAAGTTGTACCAGAATGATTAACATATTTTCTAAACTTTTTATGAACATTTTCCTTAAAAATTTTTTTACAATCAAAGTGGACTTTTAATTGGGTTCCAGGTGAATAATGCTATCTTAAATGTGAAATTGTACTAAATAGTACTAAAACATACTCCATCCGTCCCAAAAAGTTTATTACGTTTAGAAAAAACTGCGTCCCGTAAATTTCGTTACATTTCTAATAAAAAACCACTTTTACCCCTTACTTTTTCATACCCTACCTATCACATCATACCTTTTCCCTAATAATCTACCCATCACATCCTATTTTTACCCATCACATCAAGGATATTTTTGGAAAGTCAATACCAAAATATCCCTCCCTTAATTTCTCAAAAAGTCAAACCGTCCCATTCTTTTTGGGACGGAGGGAGTACTTCGTATGTTATTTACCAATGTAGTACCTGAACTTTTTTACTTCCTAAATAGTACTTAAATAATGCATAGTGACGAGAACAATGTCCAGTGATTACTTTAAGAGATGCACTCATGCTTCGTACATATAATTATCATACGTATCACATAAATGATTATCATATGTGTCGCACAAACAATTATCTTCTGTCTCATCTGTATGAAACATGAATACAACCTTGGTAACAACCATTTTGAGACACCACCCTAATTTTATATGGACTCATGGTGGGGGCGTGGGGGTGTTTTTTTTTTGTTTTTGAAATATGAATAAAACGTACCAGTGGTAAATTGTTTTTTAATAATAAAGGCCATCGCTAAATCTTCTCCTTCGATACTGAATCGCTGTTCGCTACGCCTTAGCTCTCTCCAGATTTTCCCAGGTAGGTTTTCTGCTTCTCACTCCCAAATTGGAAATTCTACAATGAAATTCATCACCTCATATATCTTCCCCTACAACTGAATTTCATCATTTCTTACTCCAGATTCTTTTCATTACATGTGTGTCGTTAACAAGTTCTTTCGGAATCTGTTCCAGTGCTGAGACTGAGCTGCAGAATCTGTAGGAGGCGTGATGGCGAAGACGAAGCCCGGGAAGAAGGACCTCAACTCGTACACTATCAGGGGAACAAATAAAATCGTCAGACGTAATGATATTCTCACATTTCTATTCTATTCTATCTCCATGTTGTGTGAAGTTTTGGATTTTGGTCTCAAAAACTCTCTGATTTCTTATACTATTTCTGTGGACTGTGGGTGAATCTAATACTCCGTATGTTATTAAAAAACATACTTGCGTTGAATGCAATCTGAGTGTTTGGTTTTCTGGATTTACTGTTAAATGTTCTGTTTTTTATAGGTAGATGTGGTTGCATTGCTTATTTAGATGCACACTAGTAGAGCTAAATAGGTATTTGCACACTAGGGCTATGTGGACATATCAGTACTCGTATAAAGTTCCTCTCTTTTTCCCCATAAAGTTTTGATTTCAAGTAGCTTTGTAGTTCATGGTCCTTCCGACCTTAAATCAACCTTATGGTTTGATTTTACAATGTTTAAGAAAAGTGTTAGAAAATTGAATGGTGTTTTGTGAAAAGTGAAATGTGTGTGATTGCAATTTATTTGGGAGAGAATTAAAGTTGTCCACATGTTTATTTTCTAAAATAAAAAGCAGAGAAGTGTAATTTTTTTTTTAGACATCCAAAAAAGGCAAGTGTAAAGTTGTTTTAAAGACGGCGGGAGTATTATTTAATCAAGGTGGAAAGCTATATATGGATGAACAGAGATTCTAGGCAGACATGTATATGTAAAGTTCCTGAATAACATTCCTATGTGTCATCCATGGAGTAGAATCGAGGGTGGTCCTAGGTTTTGAATTTTAGAGGGGTCAAATAAGAAAGTAGAACCTTAAATTTTGGGGGTTGGGGGGGCTGGTTCACCACATTGTTCTGCTTGTGAGTAGATTTAATTTTTTTAATGTGGCTCAATGTTTTAATGATAGCTGTGAGTGATTGAGCAACACAGAAGAAAGTTCAGAAATGGAAAAGAGAAATATTTCCTTAAAATTGCTCATTAATATTAGTTTGTTACGGACATATTCCCTAGAATTGCTTATAGATTGCTTCTTGTTTATTCTTTATTTGTGATGCATGTACTGTTTCCCTTGATGTATCTGATTTTTCTTGTATGTATCATATCATGTATGGTTTGAAGCCAGCACAGCTTCTTTTGATTGAGGTAGGTTAAATTTCACCCCAAAATTTCATCTGAATAACATTAGGAGCTGAAAATCTTGGAATTTATTTGCAGCTGGGGATTGCGTCTTAATGAGACCATCAGATTCTGATAACCTCCCGTATGTGGCAAGAGTTGAGAAGTTTGAAGCTGACCATCGGAATAGTGTGAAGGTACATGTGCGGTGGTACTACCGACCGGAGGAGTCAAAGGGTGGTCGCAGACAGTTTCACGGTTCTAAGGAACTGTTCCTGTCAGACCACTATGATGTGCAAAGTGCACAAACTATAGAAGGAAAGTGTGTTGTACATTCTTTTAAAAACTATACCAAGCTGGATAATGTGGGCCCCGAGGATTACTACTGTAGGTTCGAGTACAAAACTGCCACTGGAGGATTCACCCCTGATCGTGTCGCTGTGTGAGTTTCTCATCTTTTCTTCAAGACAGCTGATTTCACCAAGGGAGCATTTGGTTCAAGGAGTTGTAAGATTATCCTACGTAACACACAAGATAACCTCATGGAAACTAATACAGAGTTTGATTATATGAGATATTCATAAACTGGGTATATAAAATAAACTTAAATCTTAAACATTTGGTGTATTGAATGTAATATTACTTATGTTGTCCAATAGTTAGGGTCAAAGTTGAAATAATCCAAAATATTACCAATGTAATTTTACAATACCTAAGAAACAAAAGGTAATCATTTTTCTCCCAATATGAACCAAGTTAGGTAAATAATCATATGTCCTCTAATTGGAAGGTGATACTATGCAATGGCTAATAATCTTGTGTTTCTGAAGGTATTGCAAGTGTGAAATGCCTTATAATCCTGATGATCTCATGGTTCAGTGTGAAGGCTGTGCAGATTGGTATGAATGGTTCATTTGTACTGCACTATTTCATCTCCTTTCATCTTAGAATACCAGGCTGAACAAGTTAATTGATTCTGTTATTTAGATAATCATTTGGTCACTATTTTTTTTTAAATAGAGGACATGGTAAATAAAATGACATTTCAATCTCAAACCATGCTGAGTACAAAGCACACTTTATTAGTTATACTCCCTCTGCCCCATAAAAGTCTTGCTTGATAAAGTAATTTTTTTTTAAATTTTAGTAAGCTACAACTAATGGAAATCGTCAATATAGCTTTATTTTTAGTTGGTCTAATTAAATCTAGCGCAATCAACTTGTTTGGGATACTTTTTTATATAAAGACATTAAATATGATGAAAGTTAGCCCATTTTATTCAAATTGAACATTTTTAAGGACAATAAACTTTGAAATAGGACTGCTTCGTGGGACGTAGGTAGTAAGTTATAAAAATGAAACTTATGGTGCAATGCTTATAAGGAAAGTTGGCTCTTAATAAGTTGAAGAATAAATAGGACCATCAATTGTTTCTCCAATTTAATCTATGGGTGAAATCAGTTGTCATAAAAGACAGAATTATGAATGACCAACTTATAACCCACTTGTAGCATGTGCATTCACCGATTTAACTCTCAGTTACTATTGTTTGAAGTGATAATAGTATACACTCCACACAAGTACTCTAGTGGGAGCATCACTAGACACCAATTAAAAAAACTGAACGGTTAACGAATAATCTTCTAACTATAATCCAGTAATTGAGTGATGAACGGATGGAAGTATGTAGTTTTCAACCTATCCAGGCGCCCCTTGTTGTCCAACTAACTTGGGGTGCATTTTTTACGGTGGGGGGG